AGGAAGGCTTTCAAGTAACTAAGGACGTTTATAATTATTTCTGGAGCACCCTTAAGACCTCCACTTAATATGTTTACATAAGTGATACAAGTTTATACATTATTCTCTTAATTACAGATATAGAAATAATATATGCAAAGAAATATGATGAACACAGTAGAATACAAGCTTTCTAAAAACAGCACATAAGGGGTATTTAGATTAAAGTATATTCCAGTTATATCATATTCATAAGCATATTTCCATAAAGCATATGGAGTGCAACATCACAGGGGCTCCAGCCGGTTCTGTTTTGTATTGGAATCCCCTAGGTATTGAACTCGGCCCTGGTTGCTGTAGACTCCGCCTGGCAGAAGGGTTAGTCCTAGCAAGAAAAGCAGAAAAATGACAATAGGTTCCAAGGCCACTGAGAGCGTAATGTGCAAACTGGTGGGTTGTCTCTGGGAGGAGACACACAAAGCCCCTGGTTCCTGACCCAGAGGGATAATGGAGCCAAGGGAAATTCTTCACGGTGCTGACTGCTCACTGGGGATGATCCGTCTGCACTGACAAGGATTCAATCCCAGGGGACAATCTGATCTATTCAGATCATTACACTGCAAGAGCCAATGCCTGCCTAGCCCACAGTGAGTGACCCCTGGAGCGCTCAGGAGTGCCAACGGAAGGGAAAGTGGAGGTGCCAGGACAGGGCATTCTGTTCTGGTGCCTAAAACATCTAGGGTACGCCTCGATAGTGACCGACTCTCACTAACACTTTCAGTGACGTTCCCAGCTGACTCATAACCAATCCTGCGTCATTCGGGGAGAAAAGCACCTTTACAGCAGTAATGAGACCCAGTAGAGATGACTGTGTCACTGGCTGGTATTGGTACAGAGCAGAGGACCTCTTACCGTCTTGGTGCTGGTGGTAGGGATACGAGACATGGATAATTCAGACATCTGAGATTTTGTGCTTGATGTTCGGAAACCCCTGATCCATCTCCTGTACTCCTCTCTCACCTGGAGAGTGAGGGACATAATCACTGCACTATGTAACTAACATTGAGAAGATCAGACATGGCCACCATGAGGCCGGTGAAGGTGCTGGGGGGTTGATGACAAGCACGGGCCTTACCTGGCGATTGAGGAGACAGTGCACCAGGAAGATGAAGGCTCCCTGCAGGCTGTTGACGATGGTGAATAAATACTCCATGAACGTGGCTGCTGGGCCGATTTGGAGGAGACCAAGACTCCATGTGCAGCCCAGAATGAAGAGCTGGGCGATGGCTTTAAAGGTCAGTAACCTGGATAAAGGCAGACGGAGAGATCCCATTAAAATAACCCTATGGAGAGCAATTGGCAAAGATCTGGGCAAAGTTGGGTGGAACTACCATCCCCAGCTTCCCGGGGTGGGACAGGGTTACTGTCAATGCAAACACACTGGGAATTCATTCCAATGGATCCTAGATATGCTGTTCCCCTCCTGCAATCCCTCACACCCTCCAGTGACAAGAACCCTCCAAACCAAGACATCTGACCCTCCAAGATTGTTTTGTTACCATCTCACCTGTGGTCTCTGAGGGTGGACACATCTGCATTGAGGGAGGAGAGTCTGTTTCTCAGGATCCACAGGGTCAGGGCAAAGAACGTTATATTTATCTGTGGGAACAGTGGGAAATATTTCCTGTAAAACATTCCATCCTGGGCCGGTGACTCCAGCAGAGGCAGAGAACGATCCCAGGAGACTGATCCGAACACTGCAGAACTGCTCATTTCCGGTGGGAATCATCCCCTCTCCTGTAATATCCCCTGGCAGCTCTCGGTCCCCACCATGCATGGAGTTGACAGCACAGCCAGGGCTGAGATGGATCGATGGGATCACAGGCCAGATGCTGATCACAGTTAAATATGGAGCCTCTACATTGGAGTTAGTAGTTATTTTTGGTTTACACTGGTGTAACTGAGAGCAGGATCTGGCTCAGAGATTCCAGGTCCTGCCTCTAGAATACTTCCTGCCACTTTCCGGCTGTAACAAATTCACCCTCCCATTCCAAAATTCCCCAGGTGGTAGGGAGGAATATGTAGGGACATTTGTTTCCCCCCCTACAAAAACCATTGCAGAGTGCAGCCCTCTTCCTTCCTCGTTCCTTGGGTCATTAACTAGAGTAGGCCAAACTCTTCTGTCTTCACTTGGGAAAACTCCTACTGACGTCCATGGGAGTTGTGCCCGAGTAAAGGCTGTAGGCCTGGGGATACAGCACAGGGACTAATCCCGGGACTGACCACAGCAGATGAGCCAGGTGGGACCTAACTGGTTCTTCCCCTGTGTTTTATGGGCCACATTCTCCTCCCTGCTTCACTGAAATCATTGGTGTCGCAGAGGTGAGAGGAGAATGGGGCCCTGTGGTTCTGTGAGGTACCCACCAGGATTATGACACAGACTGGACCCAGGAAGCTCCAATTAAATCCTCTCTCCGGGCTTAGCCAGCAGCTAGAGGGAGGGAGGAAGAAGAAGGTGACGTTAATGGGATTACTGCCCTTTTTCAGCCCCGGGGGCAGAGAGGGGGTGTCACAGGGCAGCTGGCTCTGAAAAGCGAGATGGATCTCAGCCTGCCTGTGACATGGCCGACTCTATTGTGAGTAGCAGGTGAACAGCCCTCCCCATGTACCTCAGCATCTCCTGCTTTCAGCCACCACTTCCTCTTCCACCTCCTCAAATGACCCTTTCTGGTGGATGGGCGCAGTATTGCTGGAGGGCCAGACATGCAGCGGATGGACATTGGCCTCGCTGCACTGAAGGAAGTGGAGCTGCCCTGATTTACACCAGCTGAGGATCTAGCCTGGGGTGTCTAGAACACGCCACACCCTGTTTTAGTGAGTCGCTCACTTTAGAGAGGGGATCCTCAGGGATTTGCACACAGGAAGAAGGTGCATTTGTTTCCTACCCACCAGCCCCACAAACCCATCCTGGGACCTGGGAGTCAAGCTGGGATCTTTCTGGCTTGTTCTTCCACATCATCCATTGGTTGAGAAATGTAGATGTCTGACAGGTGGGCTACTCAACTAAAGCACTCGGGGCAGCTTAGTGTCCCTGGGTATGGGGAGGGTCCCAGGGGGACATTCAGCTCCCAGGCAGGGTGAGCAGGGAAATCTTGGTTCAAGTCAGACCTGGAGTGAGCTGGACAAGTGCATGGAAGCCACATCCCAGCTCCCCTTTGGGATGGGCGCTGCACGTACTGTTTGGAAGTTCCATAGCCTTTAGGATTCACT